AGCATGAACCTAACCAGATGGACCACCTCAGCTCTTCGGCAGTACATTCAGCCCATCTTGTACTTTGAACAGATGCTCTTATCCTGACAACGCACCTCATCCACAGGGCAACATCTACCGACCATCCTAAGATATTCATTTATGAACTGTTCTCTGTACAAAATCATTCCATTTGCAGATAGATGGCAAACGGTGCGAACAATAAATTACCTGCTGCCCTCTAATAGATACCGGTGATGACCCAGGTCATCTCAGAAACTAACATTTTTTCTTAATGATTAGTTGAAAAACAGTATTAAAGAGGCAATAAGTGCTATTACTAAATTCATTTTGTTGTAATCATTAGGGGAGTAAACTTTCCTGTTCCGTGCTAATTAGATCAGTTAGCAGAAGCTCAGAACCAAGTGTATCCGGAGCATCCCAGGCACAGATGGAGACAGCCAGAAGGGATTTCTGAGTACTCATTGCCTGTTAAATTTTGGAATCCTCTTAAACCAGTCATTCAAGTTAGGTCAAGATACATAGGTTTAATCCTTCCACTCCTTCTAGCAAAGTACAAAGCACTTTTTCAAGGAGCTTTCAACTGAGGCCAAATCAGCAAATTTGTCTTGATTTACTAATACTGATCTCCTGCGCCTCCTGACACAGGTAAGACTTTCCCTCGCATGTGATTCTGCTGCCCATTCAAAGCCAGTGTATTTCAGTGCTGATAAACATGAAATTTAGATGCTCTGACCCTTTTCTGTTAACAAGCGCTATGTGTATAAAAATATCTTGTTGGGTCAGTATCACACCAATTTAAGTAACGTCCTCTGGGACAAAATAACTTCCTCTGACCTGTAATAACTAGAATGACACCTGCCAGAGTAAGTTCACCCTGGTTCACGCCTTCTGTGATGACCAATACCTGAAGTTTGTAAGCCTACCAAAAAGATTATTGTTTGTCCTAGATTAAATCCAAAATGAAAGTCTTGCAGTGCTATTAGCATAGTGCACTCAACATGACTGACTGTCTTCCACCACGTTGCCTTGGAGACCAGCAGACAAAAATCAGAGAGATGATCCATAGTCCTTTTCCTTGAAAGAAAGACCCCTCTCCTCTACCAGCCAGAGAATATTTCCCAAGAAAGCTCCAGAAGGAAAGATCAGACTCTATCTTCAAATACTCCTCTATCTTACCTAGTAATAAAAGATTGAATAGAACCAAGTCCTCCATTTCCTTCCACAAGTCGTCATAGTTACGGACTGAGATGAGATGCTGTGCTGAGAACGTGCATGATAGGAGACGAGTACACACTACAGCTCTGACCCAACTTGCAAGCATCAGCCTAGCAAAGCAACTGCACTGCAGGGCTCCACGCTCCCCTGCCAACGCTCGGCCAAAGGAAAGGCACAGAGAAGGCTGCACCTCATACTAGCGAGGCACGTCTATCTGCTACTGCAGACCCCCAGGTCCGAGAAAGAGGGACACACAAAGCCTGACCATCTCTTATTTTTCCTGCCCAGTGACAATGCTGGGAGCACAGTTTGCAGGTCAGTCTTACACCACGCAAACATCTCCACAAAGATGCAGCGATCTTTAATGTGCGTTTAAAGGCTTCTAGTGGAGGTGCTCTAAGAGGAAGGAACGCTTCACAGCAGGAAAGCAAACACCACCAATGCAAGCAAATACTATCATTAACAAACTTATTTACAGTATTCAGACGTGAATTTAAGTTTAAAGGAGTTGTCAACACAAGACATCCCTCAAAAAAGGAATTTTCAACTAGAGCAGCATCAGCACAGTGACTATGCCCATGTTATCACACAGTCCCAGCAGAGCAGAAAGGGAAGTACACCAACCCAAGCGGCGACCCTTCCTCCCTAGCAGTACCTTTTGGTTGTGGTCAATTGACCCTAAAAGTCCACAATGTGAGCTGAACTAAGTGCCCTCTGGACATCTCGTGCATGTCAAGGCATGAAAAATCTTTGCTTTCTCTCTATTGGATCTGGGTTGAAGACAGGAATCAAATTCAAGCAGTTAGTTTTTATTCCGTACTTCTATAGAATAGTCCTTTCACTAGGGTTGTCGTAGTGTAATGAAAAAAACATTTTTCAGTCGCTCAGAACATGGCCTTTGTAGGGGGTTTTTGGGGGGCTTTTTTGGGGGTTTTTTTGGCTTTTTTTTTTTTTTTTAACCTGTAGAAAGTAAACAATCATGTCAGGGAAAAATTAAAAGCAATGAATCTGGCTGACCGTATTTCTATCAAACGACAGGAGTCAAAAACTTTTCCTTCAAAGTATTCATCCACAAACATTTCCTCAACAATTGCAGAAAGGCATCAAGGAGATCCAACTGTACAAGAGTCGAGTACTTATCTAGTTAGACATGCCCCCACTTCATCATTTGTATCAAAGACTGTCTTGACCATACATTGACACTTGCCTACCGTTACAGTAGTCAGCTGGATGAATTTAAATATTTCAACTTAAATCAAGAAATGAAATTAATCTAAAAATATTTTAATGTAGCAAGTTTGGCTGTAGAACCAGTGCAACATGAAGAGGACACCCATTGTATAACCAACTTTACTGCTTAATCTTAACAGAGTAAGCTACAGATGCAATGGATTTACCACAAGTTATTTGGTTAAATTAAATACTGCAGTTAGGATCATGCTGTTGGCAATTGTGGCTTTACAGTACCAGTGCTCAAGTTGGCTGAGTTAGTTTTACTGTAAGTAAAATGCAAGTTTACAGAGAAAATAATTTAGTATAGTATGCTGTATTCTCTTTCATGCTCAATCACAATGATAATGTCTTCAACAAATAAACAATATTTCAGCATTATATTAATAATGCCAAAACATACAGGAATTTTAATGCCAAATTTACAACATAATACAGTGCTCAACACACAGATTTCTCAGGTACGGTGGCCAAGTGAGAATGCTACACAGGACCGAGAAGCATCCAAGCACTACTCAGGGCATATGAAGTCAACCACGCTGACAGGAATGCTTTACCTTTTGGTAGAATTAATGTTCTAGAAGTTTGTGTCCCAAACATAATGCAACATAAAATGAATGTTGAACCCTTGCCTCAAACATGAAGCAAAAGCACTACATGTTGTTTACAAACTTGAACCAGTAAAACCACTTTAAGGACAGAAAAAAACTGTGAGCAGTTGACAAAGATGACACGAACTTGATTACTGTATTATGGGAACTAGATTGCTAATGAAGTTGTAAACAAACTTTAACCAAATTAGGTTAACGCATCTATTCTTAACTCAAGAATATTGTCTTTTCAACAAACAGTGATTTTTAAAGCTAAGGACACTATCAGAGGTTTTATTTTTGTTTAAAGCCAAAACTGATGAAAATCTGGAAGCTGGCAAATCATTTTTGCTTATTGGCTTTCATTAACCTCTTCACTGTGTACTTCAGCAGAATTTTCAAAACCCCTGTTTTTATCTAATTCTGCTTCAACGGAAGTAACTGGTAGCAAAGGTGAAGCAAACACTACCAACACTTGAAAAACCCCTACTTGGAGTGGTTTGGTTTTCTGCTATTGAGGACAAGACTAGACTGCTGGCATTGTTCTACATAGAAAACAAAACACAAAAGCATTAATTTTTAATTTTAAAAGAAAAACTTCCTCAAAATTAAATAGGCTTTGCAAATATGCAAAGAAATATATAGGTAAATCAGATTTGAATCTGTCAATCACAGCAGTGTCCTCATTCTTCCTCATCCCCACCCTCCAAACTAACAGCATTGCCAAAGTGGCTGAGAATTAAGTGCATTTACATGAAGCCTAGATACCAAACAAAAAGAAACTTTGTCCCTGCTGCATCTATTTTTTTATCTTTTTCCTGCATTTTGTAATGAATTCATGCAGGTATAAAGGGGGTTGTGTTGTTTTTTCGTGTGTTGTTTTTTTTAAACAGGCATAAGAGTTGTGCAAAACAAAACTGAACAAACTTCTGTTTCACTTCAGAAAGCTTTTATATTACCAACTCATTTCTCTTCATAACTAAAGGTGATAAAAAATAAATCCATAGTAACAAAAAAAAAACAAAAAAAACCAAAAAAACCAACCCTGTAGTCAAACTGCTTTTTCAAGTATGTTTCTCCCCTCATGAAAGAATTGCATTAGTCGTACTACCGATTAAACGCATATCACAATCAACAGGATTTAGACCATAGGTCCAGATTTCCTGGAACTGGGCTCAGCTGGATCTCCAGCTGAGTTTAGACAAGACTGGAAGCGGGAGGCCAATGGATACACATGCATGCATTACACCACTCCTCAACTCCCTGATTCTGACTACATCTGCTATCACACCCCCATTGCATCCCCCAAACAGGAGAAGTGGCACAGGAGCCACAAAGTGATCTGGGACAGGTACCATTGTTCGCTATCAACCAGGTGCAAATCTGGTTTGTCCTGATGGAGATGCATTTTGCAGACCTACTAGACTGGAGTATTTTGCCCACAATGTTTCTACATAGCACAGCATAAAACACATCTTAGCATTTCATTCAGTCTGGAATTCACATCTCAATCTATTGCAATCATGGAAGCCAGTGAAAAATCAATGAGAGGGGTTCTACAAGAGTTGGTCCCAGCATTAAACACTAATACATATGAAAAATAAAAGGGGACAAACTTCCAAGTCACTATTAGTGATGGTGATAGGTTCAACTTTTCTTTCTTCCTCCTTAAATTCACCTCCCATTAATGCAAGAGAAAAGTGCAACTTTGCAGCATGTTTGTTCACATCAAGTTTTTCCTCAAGAACACATTTTGCAGTACCAAAATATGCTCTATAAAGTTGCAAAGTGCACAAGCTGAAGGCACAGAGTACAAACACATAGGAAAACAGATTTCAAAATACCAAGTAACAAAAAAAGAGATAAAAGAAGAATCTGGAATTTAAAACTCCCTGACAGAAGATACATTTATATGGGACCAACTCTTAAAAGGTGACAATTTTTAAACTAACAAACAAATACTGCAAAATAATGAAACTTTATTCTTATTATTAAAGTAAAAGCTCCAGAAAATACCTTGAAGTTTAAAAACTAATACACTGACGTGTTAACTAGTTTTAAGAATGTCCTTAATATTAAGAAAAGAGTGCAAAAAAGATTCTTCCATTCTAACGCTTTTGGAAGCTGCTGATTTCGGCTGCCCGTTTCCACTTTGAAAGGATTATTTTTCAAGGTGCATTCCTCACAAAAATCGCAGAACATGAACCTGTTGATAGGCTAGACCAAGGAATCATGTCTTTCAAAGTCATCCCAATTGTAGCAGCAACTGACATTTTATTATAGAAAGAAGAAAGTCCAAAACTCTTCTTTGAGGCATAGTTCGTGTCAGAGCTCAAGTATCAGCAGTTGCCAAAGGAGGCTCCGGATACCACCTGTGCTCCTCCAGTGTCTGTTCTGGCTAGGAATAGAAGCTGATCCAGTATATTCACTATCTGTACCCTCTGGAGCTTGCACAAGCTGATGATCCATCTGAAATTATATAAAAAGTTCAAGAAATTCTCTTATATTAAACTTCCACCTTATGTCCTTTGCCGCCCTTCCCCCAACAGCTCAAAAACCAGCATTGCCTGCAAAACGTTAACAGTGTAAAAAGAAGCTGATATACCACGTAAATATCCATTCATTCATTTCAGGTTGTAATAACAGTTCATTGTAAAACCATGACATTTTATGGTAGGAAATAAAGTGAACAGACTCAGCTGAAAGCACAGGAGGAAACTTGGCGGAAAGAATGCAATAAAACAAACCGAAGTTAAAAACAGTACCAGAACAGATACTATTCCCCAGTCCCCAAGGCTATTTAATGACAATCAGGACTTTGTACTTCAATCCTAATCTAGAATGTATGGGTCTAGATTCTTTCCTGGCCAAATATTTAGTCAGCATGGAAGATGGAACCTTTGACTGACTGCACCCAAATTAGGGCTGTCTGGAGTAGAGCAACCAACTGAGAATGGAAATATCAATCTTCCCTGTGTCTCTTCCCCTGGCTCCCTGATCTATACTGGGGGAAATTAAGGGAGTAACAAAGTGAAGAACCTCACAGTTAAACATGCAGCAAGAGATTTCATCTACAAATGGAAGTGAACTTTCCTGTTGCATGACTCGAACACTTGTAGCCAAATACTACCTTTCGTATCCCAACGCAGGTGGATCTCGGGTTGTATTAGACAAGTAATTGAGGGTTCCAAGTTGAAAACACAACCCCTTCAAACTCTCTGTTCTGACAAGAGACAGAAACCCACATCACCAGCGGGTGACTTACATCAGAGGCGGGCTGGCTCATCATTTCATTGCCCGTTACGTGTATTCTGACCAGGCAGAGACTTGGGGCAACTATGTTCTTTTTCCTCAGGACCTCAGCTTCCACTTAAATGAAGTGGAAGTATCTTGGCCTAGGCAGCAAGGATATATTACTACCTTACAGGTGGCTCTGGGACCCTAGCACAGTTAGCCAGGTTCTAGGTCCAAGAAGTTTGTATTATTACTTAGAATGGTAAAGGTCAAATTGGCAGACAGCTAGCTACTTGTGGAGATACAGCCTCTGACATCTCGTCACCCCTAAGAACCCCTAAGTTCACCACCACCCGTACGCCCAACCCATCAGGGACTGTTAGACGGGTTAGGGTTAGATGCAGACTTACTGTAAGTTAACTCTTCTCCAGCTCTCTTGCGTGACTGGTCACCTCTAGGGAAGAAGGAGAAGAAAGGTATTTTCATGATAACCTGAACTAATTGAAGATGTCCCTGCTCATTGCAGGGAAGTTGGACTAGATGACCTTTAAAGGTCCCTTCCAACCCAAACCATTCTATGATTTTAAAAAAGGGAAAACAACAGTGAAATATCTCAGCACAATCATCAACTTTTACAGACTTCAGAAACAAAATACAAACATAGTAGCAATAGCACATGACTGCAGGGTTCTCTCTTTACTAAACCGAAGTATAAGCTGTATTTCATAGATTTAATTATCTCATCCTTTTGTTAAAGACAGTAGGTTTAATTTTATAGGATGATTTTTTTACAAAATGAAGATGAAGAAAATTGCTTATATGTAGTGTGGTCTTAAGTCAGGCATAAAATTGTCTTTCATTATTCAAACTCCTCCACCAAACTTTATAGAACTAAGTGAAAAACTCTGCATCTATCAGCCTAAAAAGGTAAGATGCTCCTGAAAACCCAACAATCAGACTCTAGGCAAGTCTGAGCTGATAGCACTTCCTCTTCAAGCAGAAGATTTAAATAAATAACTAAAGTTGTATAAATATCAGTTGACATCATTGCTTCTGAAAACCCACAGTCAAATTCACATCTAATTGGAAAACATTTTTTTCATTTTCTTCTTGTGCACACAAACTCTTAAAAGCTGGAAAATCTTGCTGCTTCACAAGTTTTTTGCGATATGCTATTGATACTGCTATATAATGAAGAGAGATTCCAATATATTTTCATCACAGTGTTTATAATTTCACATTTATCTGCTAGAATTTGGTAGAAACTGGAGGTTTTTCAAATAATATGAAATGTTCTTCCCTGAAACCACTCTTAATGTGATGGATCTGCTGTGTATGCCTTGATTAAGGTCTTTCAGAAGAAAAATACCGCCAAGCAACTGGCTTGTGTTCCCACTTTCTGCAACAATAGCATTTTAATAGTGTCGATAAGCTGACTATTTCACCTAGAACCTGACATGCCATTAATGCTGCTGAAGACACCTCGCTGTGCTCTGTTCCTCATGTTATTGTTGTAGGAAATGCAGCAGGAAAGACATCTCTGTTTTTTGGCACAATTAGAGAGCAGATGACATTTCATACTAATGCAAGAAGAGAACAGACTTGGTACACTACTTGGTAAAAGAGAAAAACAACCCTTTTATACATATAAATATATACATCTATATGTGTAGGAATATAACCTCAGAACAATTCTGAAAAGTTATAAATAAATATAACGTATGTTCCCAACATAGGAAGCAGCATACTACATCTTGAACTACATTTCAAGGTAAAATGCGTTTCAAATGCCACTGTACAATGCCATGCAGCAAATATATTACTTGTACTTCAGTTTTCTTTTACCTGTGTCCTTTTAATGGTGACAGACTCGACTCTAACACTTTATATAACCTCCACGTTTACCAGACTGCACGGACTCCCTGACAGTACAACCATATAAAATATACTGTGCAAAACACGTTCATCAAAGACTAAATGCCATCAATTGGTTATTCCACTGCAAAGTTTTATTTTGCATTTTTATTTAATAAATTGAAAGCAAGCTACATAGAAACAGCAGTTGCACAAAAGCATGGGCTAGGGTGGGCCAATTTTCCAAATCTACAAGGCATACCAAAACTCTTCACATGTCTAAGACCCAGAAGATCCCATAATGCAGAAAGCCAAAAGGAAGAGGAACTCTTAGAAATCAGACTCTGCAAACAGTATGTGACACAGAAACCTTTACTTAGTTCTTCCTTGTATGACTACCCTCAAGCCCTAATCTCTTCATTGTCCCCACCTATCACAATGGACAGAAACAGTTTCCGATGGATTTGTATTAGTTCCAGTGCTACAGAATTACTTTTCTGTATAAAACAGGAGTTGCTAAAATACATTCCGAGGATCCCACTAAGTCTCTAACAAGAGAGCACGACAGAGGCATTTAGCCTTTGCAATGGTCAGAATCCTTCCTACTACCTTTCCTAGCCTTTTATACAGTATCCTCCTCACAGTACCAAGCCAAAGAACTCCACAGCCAAGCTGACAAGCCTGTCTTATTTTCAGGTACCTAGGGCAAATTGGTTTTGAAACCAATTGTTTTTGTGAAGATGGACTGTGACTACTTGAAACTTTAATTCTCTATGAAGTGTGAAACTGGTGAAATGCAGTTGTAAGCAGAACTATTATCAGCCACCCACAGAATTAGTAAGATTGAAAGTCAGACAAAATTAAAATGTTCCTTTTTTGTTTTGTTCTGTGCATTACATTCTTTTGTCAGCATTATATGCCTACTCAGTTTCAAAGTCTCAAACGTCTTATTTCTGGGGCCAAATGAACTGCTTTTCACATCCTAAGCTCTTATGGCTTTGTTTTTAGTGTCTGACTCATACTTATCTATCAAAAAATTATTTTCAACAGAAACCCTTACAAGGACTGAGTCTACAATACCATTTGCGTCAAAAAACAGGGATGTTTTTGCAATCAAAATACAGGGATGCATGAACCGCAAGTAACTTCTTTCATTAAAATGTTTCAAGATTTCCAATCATCTGCTTTTTGGTACCACTTGCAAGGTTGGTAGTGCTTAAAACATGTGGAAAATAAGGTCACATTTCAGATATGGAGTTGTGAAGGTTATTTATTAACCCTTAAATTATTTCTTCAGTATTTTTAGGTGTATCTATTTTTACCATTACAGCATTCTCCAGCACTATTATTATTATTGTGATAATTATTGTAATAATTATTGACTAATAATTATTACCTAGTAAATCCATTCTGCATAAGCTCTCTTTGAAGTTTCTGGTCTTGAGCAGCATATTCCTGTAGCTCAGATTCCACAGCAGGGGGTAGAATATTTGGGATGAATTTTGAAAATAAAGCTGGTGCCATCTGTACCCATTCTGTAAGAAGAGGGAAAGGCAACAACAAAAGATGTGGAAGAGATCTTTTGTGAAAACTTTACTCTTGGACAAATGTAACTCTGCTCTATTTTAAATACATTTTAGGACCTTGAATTTAAAAAAAAAACAAACAAAACAACCAAACAAACAACCCAAAACCATCCCCAAAACCCACAGAAACCAAGCCTTAAAGCAGAACAAATAATCAGACCTTTAAAATCAGATGTTTATATGTAGATAAAGGAATTGCTTTTTTTTTGGTCATCAACCTCATCATCAAATTGAAATTCAGTTCTTGCTGCATCTCACAGCGCCTCTTGAGTCTCTGGATACTCAAGGACAGGCACTGATGATCAGCAAACTCACCATGATAATCAGATCATTTGTAACACTTTACTCCAGTAAGCATATTCACAAAATTTACATCTTTCTTCCCTGAGCCTTACTTGTAGAAAGCACGGTAATATCAGCATACAACCCTGCTTCTTCATCCCCCATTTCAAATGAGTTAATGCAATTCTCTCACTGACCTCCCAAAGCTTAGATGAACACTTTTTAAATGCTCATTATATAAGTTTAACCTGTATTAGTTCAACTTCAGGATAGGAATGTGATTGATTTCACTACACTGAAAGTTTACCTTAAAGCTGCTTCAAGGCTGATTATAAGAAACACAGAAGACTGAGTAAAGGATGAAAATTGGGTTTATAGCAACTGTGTGAGAAGTTCTGAGAAAAATAAATACTCCTCAAGTATTTCTGAAGCCAGACATTCCTGAGGTTGTAGCAGTTATCTTAAACTACATCCTTACTTGGACAAAGGGAAGCTTTAAAATACATTCACTAAGGCACAAGTTTTTATCCAATTCCCACATGTTTACCTGGTCGATGTCAAGTTTCAACAGACATCACTTTAAATCAGCGAACTCCCTAAATAATCATTACTAGTGTACAGGTGACTTAAAACCCAACGCACTGACCTCCCTCATCACAGAGTCACAGAATCATTTAGGTTGGAAAGGATCTTTAAAATCATTGAGTCCAACCATTAACCCAGCACTGCCAAGTCCACCACTAAACCATGTCCCTAAGCACCACATCTACACCTCTTTTAAACACCTCCAGGGATGGCAACTCCACCACTTCCCTGGGGAGCCTCTTCCAGTGCTAGACAACCCTTTCAGTGAAGAAATTTTTCCCAATATCCAATCTAAATCTCCCCTGGCACAACTTGAGGCCATTTCCCCTTGTCCTATCACTGGTTACTTGGGAGAAGAGACCAACCCCCACCTGGCTACAAACTCCTTTAAGGTCAGTGTAGAGAGTGATCAGGTCTCTCCTCAGC